TGTATATATATATATAATATTCTGTAACTCTGTAACTTCTGTCGGTGCTGTGCTTTTTTGGAAATCGAATTTCCCAGAGGAACCCACCCGAGGGATTAATAAAGTTCTATCTTATCTTATCTTATCTTATTCTGGGGCCTCTGGATGTCTGGGGCCTGGATCTCTTCCATACCTGCTTCATGTCCTGGTGGACGGGGCTATGGCTCCCCACACTCCCTAGCAGATCGTTACATGGAGAAACCTTTGGAATACAAACGTACTGATCCACACAGGTATGCACACGGGTGTTCACACTACACAAACTACCTCAAAGCACATTGTGCGCTGCTGATCTTACGTACTGCACAATAACATGTAATATTTAGTATCTACTGTTATCTACTGCTAGCTAGTTTATTGTGATGGTGCTGTTTTTTTATTATGTTGCTCTTTGTTGTTTGCTTTCTCTTCTGTTTTTTTTCTCCATACAGGTGATCCAGGTGTTGTTTGTTTTTCTTTCTTTCTTCCCCCCTTTCTCACCGTCTCTTCTCCCCTCTGTTTTTTCTTTCTTTCTCTCCCTCTCGTTTTTTCATTCTTTCTCCCTGTCCTATCCCCCAGTCATGTCTGTCCCATCTGTAACAACCGAAAATCAAATCAAATAAATACATAATTATAATAAAGGTCAATCAAATGGACCAATATGGCAAGGCCATGATGATCCAATTGGTAAAGTAAAGCCGCTTGGCATCTTTCTTGGCCTTCAGAAAACAATTCTGATGGCTAAAGATCCAAATGGGACGGGCAGCAAAAAAAAAAAGAAATTAGTGATGATCTGAAAAAACAACATGAAAACACTGACAGTTAACAATTCGAGCAGTAAGTGAAACAGACAAATAAAACCCGTGTAATCTGGCTGCACTAACTCTGCCATCATTGACTTTCACCCAGGTATACTGCCTGGGGAAGGATGCTTCATCCTCCATGCATCAACCAAGTTAATTTTCCGTAGGACATCTGATAAAGATGCGGCTCCGCCCCTGTCCTATCCAAAGTAAAGTCAAGACAACAATTGCAGTCCCCACCCAACACAACACAGTCCCCTTGACCCTAAGGTTGGTGCATAGACAACAAAAAAAGTAAAAATAAAACCTATTTCAGCTTTCACCATAAGGACTCTCCCCTTTACCATCTCCATGCTGAAAGTAATATTTGCATTAAGAGAAGGAGAAAATAAAATAGCAACTCCTGCGCTAAAATTTGTCCCATGGCTACGAAGCTGCTGCCCTCCCCACCACAGACCCCAGTCTATTTCATTTGTACTGTCAGTATGTGTTTCTTGGAGAAAGGCTATATCTAGTGTCTTCTGCTTGATCACCTCAGCTAATAAGGGTCACACCTCACACTCTCACTCAGACACACCAAACTCACCACCATCAAACTCCCAGCATGCAGTGCGAGAGAGTGTGTGTGTGTGTGTGAGTGAGAGTGTGTATGTGAGAGAGACAGTGTGTATGTGTGTGGCTGTGTGTGTGACAGCTGCAGTGTTGACTTTATTTCTCATTAACTGTTCAAACTGCGTCTCTGATTAAACTCGTTTTTAATAACCTGTTTCTGCACACGCACAGTCACCTGATCAGGGTCAAAGGTTATTGATTGTGGCTTCTTCCTCCTGTGGTTGGCTGCTGAAATACACTCACAGTTTGAAAATGTCAATTTTTAACATGTGGGTAACCATAGAAACAGGACTCCTTCTTCAGCAAAGTACACACCGGCTCTACTTCCATCCCACAATGCACTGCAGCGCAGTCACATGACCGCACAGCTAATGGTGAGATCAGTGTTCCTCAGTCAGAGCTGAAAGAAGTTTTACAGCTTCCTCCATGCCAGGGGACACTGCGGCGCCCTTTGGGAGATTATGCGATCCCATAATTCATAGCAGCGCACCGTCAGGTCATCATGGAAACGTGTTCGCGTGCTGGCACGAGGGAAACATTCGCTTCCTTCTCTGACATCAGAGTGAAGCATCTGCCTGAGCATAGGTCAAAGTGCAGCTCTGCCCTCATTGTGTAGCGTTAGAGAGAGATCATGTGACGGGGCGGTAATCACATGATCTGGTGTTCATGTGAGGTTATTCTGACTGAGTGAAGCCTCCTCACCTGAGCTCAGGTAGTGTCAGCTCACTGATCAACGTGACATTTGCTCTGGGCCTCACACCTCCCATCATGTTCTCATCATCATCTGAAGCAGCTGATTGGTCGGTCCGTAGCAATACTTGGTGCAGACAGAGGGTATCGATCAGCGTTGATCAATGAACTAAAACTGATCAGTTTCACTGATGGCAGATCAATGAAGGACTTCAAATAAAGTTTTACGGAGTGTGTGTGAGAGAGAGAGACGGTGTGTGTGTGTGTGTGTGTGTGTGAGAGAGAGAGACAATGTGTGTGTGTGTGTTTTTTTTAAGTATTTAAAGGGTTTATATTCTACTAAACTTTATTAGTGTGTCACCTGTCTCAGTTTCCGTCTTTATTTACGGCTCAGAGGTCAGAGGTCAAATATTCACAGTCAAATATTCACTCCTCCTCCCTGCTTCCTGTCTGACACACACACACACACACACACACACACACACACACACACACACACACACACACA